CCACTGATATTCGTGGTCCCGACGGCATCGCAATTCTTTCATCACCCACTTCAGCGAGTCCGCGTCGGTTGCAAAACACCACTCCTTTGACATCATCATGTCCGAGACGGGATCGCGAAGTCCGACTCGACACCCACTAACTGATACCCTGTGGACCTCTTTCTCGTTGCACAGATTCCTCACGGGGGCACAGTCCCAAGACTTTGCACTCGGTGGAGCTTCTATGGTGAAATACTTACCCTTCCTGATCTGCATCTTCGCCACTACCACGCAGAATCGCAACTACCCGGTTGCCTCCTTGACCATCTTCCGATGCTCCTTTGGGTCCTTCCTGCTGGATTCCGGCGTGAGGTTCTGCAGGATAGACAGGGCAGGGCGCTGCAAGGAGGGCTCATGCCGACGAACTCGGGCTCCTCCGCGTCGATCAGATGCAGAATGTGATGCCTATCTTCAGCTCGTCGGGCGTCCCAGCCGTTCTTCAGGTCGAAGGCATTGAGGTTCTGGAAGCCTAGGTTCTCGAACTCCACTGTTAGCCGCGGCTCCGAAAACAGTTCTAGACACTTCGGTTGCATACCTAGACGAGCCTGCGCTGCCTTAGCTCCCTTCACCACCTCCTTCTTGGCCTTCCTGCTCCTGATGTCCGTCACCCCCACGGTCCAGAGCGCCTCCGACTCCTCCTCGTCGTCGCTGGCCTCAGGGCTCCGACCCGGCCCTACCGAAAACCAGCCGTCGCAGCCTCCACAAACTCCTCCAGCTCGGTCGCCTCCGACGTTGCCATCACATCAACTTCTTCCGTCTGAATCTTCTTACTCTCGCCGTTCTTCATCTCGCAGAGATTCAGCTGGTAGTGTCCACTGGCGGCGACCTTCAGAGGCACCGCGACGTTGATCCTGGTAAACCTGATCTCGTCCCGCTCCATGTCCAGCATTGCGCCGAGAGCTTCGAGCATCGGCTTGCTGACCAGCAAGGGAGTCCAGCCTGGCACCACGCACAGCCGAAGGAGTAACATCCTTCCGCCAACTCGGCACTGCATCTCAACCGAGTAGATTGACGACAGCGTCTCCTGATTTCCAAACTTGAACGTCGTGGCCTTCTCTTGCTTCATTATTTTCACCTCCAATCCTGCCTTCTATCATCTCCTGCTTGTGCTGCGACAGGGTCTCCTCGCCGATCACTCACCGCATCCAGTGTCCACTACGCCGTTTCCCGGCTCGTGGGCTGTCGTGTTCAGTTTCTCCGGATACTCCAAGTCGCCGTCCTGACCGCTGAGGCTCCAGTACTCCTGGATAAGGGCCTGCACGTCCCCCTCCAGCTCCTCGTAGGCGTCAATGACCGCGTTCATCTCATCCTCGGAGTTCACCTCGTCGGACTGGTCGCCCTGGTGGTTCCGCAGCTCCATCTGTGCCTCGTCCTCGCAGACCTCGCACTCGAAGCTGTCGTCGTCGTCCTCGATAGTGTACACCACGTTGACGCCCTTCTCTTTGCCCTTGCCTTTGCCGTCACGTGGCGGTGGTCGTCGCTGTCTCTTCGGCTTCTTGCAGTCCCTGCTGAAGTGTCCGACCTCGTCGCAGTTGTAGCATCGCACCCGCTTTGCCATGTTCTTGATGTCCGGCTTCTTTGGGCCGAACCCGCGCGCCAGTTGCTCCTTGGATATCTTGTTGCGCTGATCTCGCCACGTCACCAGAATCTCGATGGCCTCGCTCTCGTCCAGGATATCGTTCTCATCCTCGTCCTCCTGAAGGCCTGTCATCAGCGTCTCGATGTCCAGGTGACTATCTTCCTCGTCGTCGACCACGTGCGCATTGTATGTCCTCTGCTGCTGGCCGAAGTCGGTCGTGCCGTTGGGATATGTCGTCCTCAGCGCCGATGCCACATCCCGTTCCTTGTACGATCTTGATGACGCCGCAAGCACCACTGCCAAGCATTGTGGTGGAAGATGTGCTCCCAGCAGCAGCAAGTAGCCTCGAGCCATGTCTGGCAGCACAACGCCCTCGGCTTCGCCCTTGGCGAACGACGCCTGAGCTCTGCCGCAGTATGCCGCGATCGCCTCGTTCTTCACCAGCTTCAGCGAGAACACCTCCTGGAGCGCCTCGCCCAGCCTGTCGTGCGCCGCGACGTCCGGGAAGCGCGCATCCAGCGTGTCGAACAGCACCTGCTCGCCACCCTCCGTCTCCAGGTCGTCCATGTCGAAGATCTCCATCGCGCGCGCCGCCACGTCGTCCAGCAGCGTGAACAGCATCGGCCCCATGGCCGTCGGTGGTGTCCCCTTGGCCCGCACCCGATAGTCGCGAAATGCGTCGGCTCCATTGCCGGCAAATCTCCTGATGCCGCCGGCCTGCCCAGCGTCCGTGTTCATCTGATTGAGCACCGCCGGCACTCGCCCGAGTGCCTCCCTGCGACAGCGCCTGCTATCGCGTGGCCCGCTCCGCTCTACCAATGCAGATGGCTTCGAGAGTGGGGCCCCCGCCCCACCTTTCCTCACCCGAGGCAGGCCAAAATGCTGCAGCACAGACTCAACACGCACAGATCACATCCAGGCCCAGCTGGGCCTCCATTACTTCAGAGGTCATCCAGAGGGGGCCCGCTAGGGCCGCACGTGACTACTCAGCCACTACGATCAGCAGTATGTATGTATGTATGTATGTATGTCTGTCTGTCTGTCTGTCTGTCTGTCTGTCTGTCTGTCTGTCTGTCTGTCTGTCTGTCTGTCTGTCTGTCTGTCTGTATGTATGTATGTATGTATGTATGTATGTATGTATGTATGTATGTATGTATGTATGTATGTATGTATGTATGTATATATGCATGCATGCATGCATGTATGTATGTATGTATGTATGTATGTGTATGTAAGTACGTACGTACGTACGTACGTACGTACGTATGTATGTGTGTAGTGGTTTACAGCCCATCCTGGCACGGTGCTTGGGTTGTGGGTTGGTGTCCTCTTGGATGTTCGTTTGGATATCGTGGGAAGCCTGTCGGGGGCCTCTTGGAGGCTGTCTTGATTCCTTTGGGGGGCCATTTAGATGGCCTTTTTGGGGTTTCTTCTGGGCCTGTTTGGAGCATCTTGGGGCTTCTTGGAGGCCTCTTGGGGTTTCCTGGGGGCCTCTTCGGGCGGAAAGCTCAAATTGTCGGTTCGCTTTCCCCTTCTCGGGCCCGTGTTGGGCCGTCCTGGAGCTCTCTTGGGCCGTCTTGGGCGCCTCTTGCGCAAGTGCGCGCGCGCACGTCGTCTCGCGCGCAGGCCGGAATCCCTCATCAATAGGGTTCGTAGGGATGTCAGCATAGACTGCCACGGAAACTTATAAACCAACACATATGGTTTGCAACCTCCATAGTCAGAATATTTGCGCGCGGTCTTGCGAATTTTTACGAACATCAGAAGTTGTTCAACGTGTTCATCACACTCGACCAAACAGGCCTCTCGCGTCGCATGCCGAAATCATTCGAACGTCCTTGCGAAAGTGCTGGGCGGGCACGATCTTTGTCCAAAGTCCACGCGCGCATGTCGAAATCTTTCCAGAATCTTCATCACCGTCGCGAGGACATCGTCATCGCCATCGGCGTGACTTTCTCCGGCGCCGTCATTGGCCATGCTGTCTTCATCGTCATCACTGTCGCCATCATAGCGTCGACCGCAGTCGACGTCGCCATGATACCGAGCCCGCCCAAGTCACAGACTCGCACTGAAGTGCCCACTGGGAAGTGCCCAGGGGTCAGCGCCCTCGCGGTCGCGTCGGTCGCGCCAAACCAGGTGGCCGTTGCGCGCGCGAGCATGCAAGGGCCAGCGCGGCCGCAGAGCTGCAATAACCAACGCCAAGCATTCATCGCAATCGCCGCCGCATGGGTTTTGCAAACCAAGCTGCGGGTGGGTAGGTGTGATGGTTGCGCGAGCACTGGATTTGTCAACCCCAGTTTTATTATGTTACTGTCGCATTATATGTTGCACCACATAGGTTGCACAACATATCTTGCACCACGTAGATTGCATTACATCGGATTCCTTTTAGGTTGTACAACTTACATTGCTGAAGGTACAGCGCTTGGGCCCCACGCTGGCTAACCTGTAGTATTGGATCCACGAGGAGCTGGATCCACGGACCCGTGGCAGTGCAAGCCAATGCTGTGATTATGCGGGCGAGTGGTTGCGGTTGCTGGGAAAGCGCGGGATGTGTTTGAAGCGTCGTCCGTCGTTTTCGTAGTCGTGTCGCGTCGTCCACTGGGCTCCCATTCGATGGTAAAGTGTTTGAACAGGCGCGTGTGTTCAGAAAGCGGGGGGGGGAGGCGCTGCCGCCTATTATTGGGGAGTTTGTTTGCCGGTTGCTTCGCGACATAAGAGGACCCCCCCGCGATTTCACAGTACATGTCCTGTACGCTGTTTGCCTTGGACGACCCCCCTCTCCCCCCCGCTTTGCACACAACACCTAAACAGTTCACCTTCGCCAGGGTAAACAGCCTCAAACACGCGATGCGTACCCAGGACGCGTCGAACACAGCGGACGCACAATCGTTCTCCGGAGGCAGGGGTGCAAAAAAAAACATGCGCGTGCCTGGGGCGCAACACCATGCATTTGTACTTCGGCGGTTGGTTGAGTTTTTGTGTGGCGCTGGGAAAAATAATCTCCCATCTTGTAGCGCGAGCGCGTTGAAGACCCGCCCCCGTGAGCCCACCTCATTTCGAAAACCCTGACGCCGCGAGGCCGCGAGGCCACCGACCGTGCCTCCTGAACGCGTTTTCCCCGCCTCCTCCTCCAGCGGTTGTTGGGTTCGATTCGGATTCTGGGAACGACGGAGAACTACAAGGCGGCGGTTTCGCTCGAGGGGCGGGGAGGCGTCCTCGCGAAGTCGGGCCTGAAACCCCCAGGGGGCTTCAGAAACAGCCCGGGTTGCGCCAATGTCCCAGGATTTCCCAAACAGGCCACATGATGCGCCCAAGAGGCCTCAGGATGTCCCGAAAGGGGTTACAGGATGCTCCCCGAAGGCCTTCCGCAAATGTTTCGGTTCAAGCCACGTCCTCATGCCTCAAGGCTAATGGGCCTGTGCTGGGACCGCCTTACCTGTGCGAGTCCTGAAACTATATGTTGGCCCCGATGGCTTCATCTGGCCATGTGCAAGGAGGTGCGGCGTGCTGTGGCAAATCGTGGCGTTGTTGCAGACGGGCGAGGTTCGAAAATGGCATCGACCGCTACACGCTGAGATTCGTAGACCCAATGCAGGAGGGAGGGTTCGCGCGCAACCACAAGGCGCTGCTAAGCCACTATGTGGGACTGGCGATGGGCGTCATTGCAGCCGTAACCCTTCTGACGAGCTTGACTGGCCACAGGTTCTGGGACGACTCCCAGTACGCCACGACAGAGGCCCAGGAGCTCAGCAGGTGGCAGCTGATCATCCAGACGGTCACGACCTCATTTACATCCAGCTGCGAACGGCAAACCCCGCCACCGTGCCAGCGCAGCAGCGCAGCAGGAAGGAGGTTCACTTTAAGACCCGATCCAGTTCAGACAGGACGCTGAACTGGAACGGGTCTTGAACATGGTCTCTTTACCCACAGCCTCGCTATCCTCTTCCTTCCTCATCGCTCCTCATCGTAACTATTAACTATTTTCCACCCTCCCTCTTGAGGGCATCTCTGACGCTTCTCTTGTCTAGGGCTTATTGAGGGCCTCTTGGGGGCCTCTTAGGGGGCCTCTGGGAGGGTCGGTCGAGCGCCTCTTGGAGGCCTCTTGGGGGCCTCTTGGGGGCCTCTTGGGGGACTCTGGGAGGCTATCTTGGAGGGAAAGGCTCCCAGGGGCAGTTCGAGTTTGGCCTCCTAGAGGCCTCTTGATGGCATCGTTGGGCGCCTTGTGGCCTTCTTGGGATCCTTGTCGGCAGGCTCGTGGCGATGTTTTGGGGGCCACCTGGGCCGTCTTGCGCTTTCAGAAGCCCACAAACGCGAGCATTCCAGAATCCAGCAAACACTTGCTGCCCATGGTATTTGCCTCTCGGGGGCTTTTGTGCATCCTCTTGGAGCCTTCTTGGGGCGTATCGGGGGCCTCTTGGGCCGGTCTTGAGGCCGTCGTAGGACCCTCTGGTGCCGTCCTGGGGCTCGTCGGGCAGTCTTTGGACTGACCTGGGCCGTCTTGCAGTCTTCTCCGGGCGGTCTCGCGTTGTCTTGGAGCTGCCTCCAGGCCAGGGAGGGCGTCAGGGAGTCAAACGAGCGGGGCGTTGAAGAAGCCTACAAGACAGCAGGCGAGCATTCTCGCACACCACACCGTGCCCAGTGCACGGTGTCAGATTTCTGGCCTTCGGTTCTGCGATATTGATGGCCAAGTACAGCATTGTGGGCACCTTGGGGTTGGAGGTAGCTGTTGTGGCTGCGGTTATCCCCCTCATGATCGTGATGGTGATTAACTCGAAACACTACGTCGCGCGAGTGTTCGGCTACGCCGACCCAGAGGCCATATGGGGCCTCAATCTGGGCGGTACCGACGGCAGTGTCGTGCTGTACATCGACTGCGTTGTCACCGCTCTGCACCTGCTGATGCCGATCCGCTGGGTGGTCCTCGTTCCCATGGAGGTGGCAGTGCTCGGCCTAAACCGTGTTTTGGTGATTTCGCTGACCGTTTTCGTTTTGTGTTCGTTTTGCAGCAACGGCGGAACGAAGACAAAGCGAGGGAACCCGACAACACAAGTAAATCGACAAGCACTGTTTAGGCCGAGCCCTGGAAGGTGGTCGCTTGTCTAGCCTACATCGTGCCCGCGCTGCTGCTCGGGAGCCCGACCATGAACGCCGTGCCCTTAGACGATTTTAGATGCGCTGGGGGCGGTATTTTCTAGGCCGGAGGATCGCGCCGCATCGCCGATGCATCGGCGATGTGGCTGGATGTGGAGCCCGATGTTCGCCGCGGCGGCGTCGCCGATGTTCTCCACGCCAGCGTAGCCGATGAATCGGCTACGTCGCTACTGCATCGGCGATGCATCAGCGATGTGGTGCACCCCATCTAGTCGACCCCATCCAGGAGGTTTTTTATGTTTGTGTTCCGGCATGTTTGTTCCCATTTCGGGGTCAACGCTTGTTCCTTGTTTGGGGATTCTCAGTTGCGCAAATCTTCGGTTTGGTTCCGTGTTGTGTTGCCCGCTTTTGTTTGTCCTGGGTTGCCTTTCTTTTTTGTTGTCCAGCGCTTTCTAACCTCAATGAAGGTCGTGCCCCACAACGTCATCGGGCTCCTGGCGCTCACTGTGATGGCGGCCTTCGGGAAGCGGGCCTTCGAGAGGCAGGAGCGCGGGCTGTTCGCTGGCCTCCTGGTGGAGAAGCAGAAGCGCTTCCAGGCCGAGTTCGAGCTGTCCGAGAGGCCGCGCCAGGCTCTTGCGGCCAACTGCGAGCCCTACAGCCAAGATGCTGACATTGGGCCACGTTCGGCGCCCCCCGAAAAGCTGGGCCAGGGTTTCGTAACACACGTGCCGGAACTCGGGCCCAGCTTCTTGAGCACAGTCGCCTTTCCAGCGTCAACACCAGAAGTCGGCCCAGGCTTGTCTGAAGAAACTTCGGGAAGCTGGCCCTGATGTTTTAAAAGATAGTTTTCTTGATCATTTTTTCGGCTTTAGATTTCTATCCAGTTGCCTATGGCAAGTCCCGCCACCGTGCCTAATTTGAGGGAATTGAACCTGTTGAGTGTTCGTTGAGATCTCGTGGGAGGCCTCTCGGGAGCCTCTTAGAGGTATTTCGGAAGCCTCTTTGGGACCGTTCTGGGGCCTTGGAAGCCTCTACTGGGGGCCTCCTTGGGGCCTCTTGGGGCCTCTTTGAGGCCTCTTGGGGCCTCTGAGGCCTCTTGGGGGCCTTTGGGGCCTCTTGGGCGCCTCTTGGGGCCTCCTGGGGGCCTCTTGGGGCAGAAGGCTTGGATTTTCGGTTCGTGTTCCCTAGCTTCGGCCCCTTTGGGGGCCATCTTAGGGGGCCTCTTTGGACCTTTTGGGCGCCTCTTGCGCCGTCTTGGGGTTCTCTTGGAGGCCCCTTGGGCCGTTTTGAGGTGGGGACCTCTTGACCTCTTGGGCTATCTTGGAGCGTCGGGTTGGCCATCTGGAGGCCAGCGTCTTCGAGCGATCGTTCGGCGACTCGGGGCCCTCTTGGACCGTCTTGGGGGCCTCCTTGGCCGTCATGGAAGCCTTGCAGAGCCCCGGGGAGGCGCCAGGGTTACCCAGGAGACCCTGGCAGTAGAGACGACTCAGTCGGGTGGGTGCGACCGTGCGACCGGGAGGATGGGGCGACCGCTTAGAAGACTACAGGAGGGTGCGAGGAGGAGGAGGAAGAGGAGGAGGAGGAGGAGGAGGGAGGAGGAGGAGGAGGAGAAGGAGGAGGAGGGAGGAGGGAGGAGGGAGGAGGGAGGAGGGAGGAGGGAGGAGGGAGGAGGGAGGAGGGAGGAGGGATGAGGAGGAGGAGGAGGAGGAGGAGGAGGAGCGACTTCAGAGGCCAGGCAGCCCTTGGCAGCCTTCCACGCTTCAAGGCGTGCCGCAGGCACGGCGGCGGCTCGGGGAGCCTGCGGGTGGCCTGGGCCCGCCGTTGGCCAGGGAAGCTTTTTCCCAACCCTCCTTGGTTGGGTATCCGTTTTGAATCAGAGCACCGCGGTCGCGCCTTCCTCCTCCCGCCTCCTTCCGCCTGCCTCCTGCCCTCTCTTCGCCGTCGCTGGGGGGCTGCGATCTGCGAAACCCTGGGGGGCTGCGATCTGCGAAACTGTCGCCACTTTCGAGGGCTGTTGGTGGGTCCAGCGGGGTGAGGCACCGCGCAGACCTGAGGTAGACCTCGCCGTCCCTGGGGGGCTGCACTCCTCGTGGTAGCACGAGAGGGCCCGTGCCAATAGAGACACCCTGCTTGCCTCCAGGGTGCCCTGGGTTTCCTGGGTTTCGATGGTTCTGCTCTGGAGGACGCGACGCTCCCATCCCCCAAAAAGGAATGGACTTCCTGGGGTCTCAGGGCTGGGTTTCTTGCGGAGGGTTTCTTGTGGACTGGCCTCCACTGTAGCACGATGACTACTGTGCCTCTGCGGGTCCACTTGACGCTAGAGTAGACCGGACACCCCCACTGGGGTCTACTCGGCTGCGGGGACCCGTCAGATTCTGACCACAGCCAGTTTTTCTGAAACCTGGCCTGCAGGGGTATAGGGTTCACACGTGAGGCGTTCCAGAAGGGGTTCGCCTCCGGGGGTCGAGGGAGTTGGCATCTCTTCCTCGGCGGACGATTGGCGGAAGGCGGCGACAGTAAAACGTTTCTACCTCCGCCAGTGCAAGGCTGGTGGAAGTTGGCGGAGGAAGTATCAAGAAACACCTGAGAGATGGTCACCTTTTTGGGTTCAGGGTGTTTGTAACCCGCCATGCGCCTTCAGGTTACAAGCGACGAGGCCGCGAAGGCGGAGGGCGACCGATCCGTCGTGCCGTCGTCGCTCCCCATGACGACCACCAGCGCAGGGGCCTTCGATGCCACCCTGGAGCACGCGTCGCTGGACCAGATCCGCGCCATCGGGCAGCGGGAGCAGTGGCTCCTCGCCTCTGGCGAGGTGGAGGAAAAACCGAATTTCCATGATCAAATAGTTGTTTCTTAAAGCACGAAACAAAGACATAACAACTGTCTCCGGCGAGGTGGAGCTGTTCACCGACGTGATCCTCGGCGAGGGCGGCTTTGGCATCGTGGTGTCGGGCCTGTATCACAACGCCCTGGTGGCGGTGAAGGCTGCGAAAGGCCACGACTGGCGAACGTATCCATGTCCGCGCTCTTGCGGTCTGGATTCCGGGGCGCGATCTCGTGGATACGCGGTCGCATGGATACGTTCCGCGCGGAGCATCCGCGAAAAGACGCCCCTCGTTCACAGGGTCGCGGCCCAGGGGCCCGGCCAGCGAGGCCATGGGTACGGATGCACGTGGTACGCCCACGCACAGGGGGCGTCACTCAGGGTGGCCTGGCCGAGCTCTGCAACGAGCTGAGGATCCTCCGGCGCATCCGCCACCCCAACGTCGCGTTCTTCTACGGGGCGTGCATGGACGTTGTGACGGGCAAGCTGTGCCTCGTGCTCGAGCTCGTGGACGGCCTGCCCCTCGGCGGGTTCATACGGGGCCTGTCCCGGGGCCCTGGCCAGCCTGCGGAGGCCAGCGCTGGGGAGGCAGAGGCCGGGGTGCAGGCCAGCGGCGCTGCCACGCGGGCCCACCTCGTGTTCGACATCCTGAACGTGCTGCGCTACCTGCACTCGAGGCTCGAAGAACCACACCTTTTTTCCGTCGGCGGCGAGGCAGAGGATGTCAGCTCCAGCGTGTGGCTATTCGGGGCAACCGAAAAGAGGTAGGAAAAAGACGAGGGCGGCCGCGCGGGGGGAGGGGGAGGGGAAAGCGCTCAGGCTCGAATAATCAAACACGGCATGTGCAGAAAAGAATCTGCGTTCCGCGTGGATTTCTTACGGGCCCCCCCTGGCGGCGCCGCTCCGACGCCGCCCCTGGGAATCCGCGCGGACTTCCGCAAGCTTTGTGTGTTAGGCACTTTTTCGTTCATTTATGGAGGCAGCCCGTCGTTGTGCACGGCGACCTGAAAGACTCCAACGTCTGCGTGGAGGAGCGGTGCAACAGGAGCGGGCGGAACTCGTACCACGCCAAGTTGCTCGACTTTGGCCTCTCGCGGATCGTCACGAAGAATGCCAAGCCTCTGAGCGGCACATTGCGATGGATGGCGCCAGAGCTGATCGCTGCTACAGCCGTCTCTCCCGATGCTGCCGCCGACTGCTACTCGTTTGGGTTACTTGTGTACTTTATTGTCGCAGGACGCCTACCCTTTCAGGGCACGAACAAAATGCAGATACTGAGTCAGCTCCGCCGTGGCCAAGGGCCCAGCCTAGCGTGGCCCACGCCCGCCGGCGAGCTGACGAAGGCCTGCGGGCCAGTGGTGGAGCAGTGCACCCAGCCGAAGGCGGCTTCACGCCCAGCGGTGCAGCAGATCAGCGACGAATTGTCCGCCGTGCTGGGCCACGTCGTAGGTGGGGACATGGAGACGTCGGTGCTGGAGACCCTGCGCAGCAGAAGCTCCGCCAGAGGGGACACGAAGACGCTGCCGCTCGGCGCAGGAGGTCCCGCTGGCGGGGGGCCCGTGGCCAGTCCGGAGCTCCAGAAGTTCGAAGGCTTGGTGAAGCTAAGTCAGGTCAGCAGCTCCAGCGTCAGCGCACTCGTTCCAGGCATTTGCACCCAGAGCGTGTCCGTGATGCCCCAAAAGACGGCGGTGCTGTCGGCAAAGGGCGCGGACGGCGCCGCAGCGGCGCGCCCAGACAGCCCTGGGAGTTCGCACGGGCAGCTGGCCCATCCAGAGTTCGAGCCGACGCCGCTGACCACGCAGATTCTCACGCTGACGCTTCTGCTCTACCAGTGGAACGTCTCGAGTCCAGATAGCCCGTGCTGCTGGCTGCACAGCGCCTTGCATTCTTTGGACAGGATGCGGGCGGAGCTCCGCTGCAGGCCGTGCAGCGCGAAAGGCCCCATGCTCCGTGGGCAGTGCCGCAGTTGCGGGCTGCTGCTGCTTGAGGGCCAGGCAGTCTGCGAGTTCTGCGAGTGCCCGGGTTCCTGTGTCGCCGTGGACGCTGCCGCGCGCTCAGAAGATGCGTTTGCTGTCTGAGGCAGCCTTTCCCGTTGCACTTCGGGCGCGGGCCCATGGCCGAAAGCGCGCCTGTCTGAACGGGCGCCAATGCGGGTGCCATCCACCCAGCCGCATGGCTATGACCATCGATGTCATGGGTTTGCTCATGGACTTTTTGGTCACATGCCGCCAGCATTAGATGAGACTGGTGCAGCAGACGGTCCTAGGTGTCTGAATCCGATGCCCTCGTCGTTGCGCTGTGCGCGAGGTGGTAGACACTCATGCCGAGCATGTATTTTTATTGAGCTGTCTCGTCGTTATTTCTTCACGTGGGCGACGCAGAAAAACGGAGTCGGCTTCACCGACATTCGCGTGTGAGCTCCCCGCGTAAGGTCTCGCGTAAGCGCCCTCGTTTCCAGTGTGGCGTGCTGTGCTGGCGGCCCGCGCAATCTGCGGCGTAAGGTCGCTATGTCATCGCGCGTAGGACTGGTGTCTTTTCGTCGCCCACGTGATTGTTGGGCATTTGGGAACATTGCAGTGGTGCAGGCATTCTACCGCGGGCCGACTTGCGTCGGCCCTGGTTGTCTTTAAAAGGTGTTGGTGGGTACGGGTCTGCAGATGTTGGGCTCTAGATGGAGTCCCCACGACCGCAGTTTTGAATCGGTGATCGTGGGGATTCTGATGACTTATCTGCACACATTGAGTGCGCCGGATAACAAGGAAGATCAGTATGTACAGCCGCCCGCCGACAATGCATTTGATTTTCTCAAATCGTAGCGTTGACATGAATGTCAGCAACTTTGCAAACCGGCTCCCTCGTTGTTGGTCGAACCAAGTACGTTCGGCGCAAGCGGTCTTTTCCTGTTGGCCAGACTGTGTGTGCACCTTGTTTTTTCCACGGAATGGGCCTTGGGCCAGAGTGGCATGTCTGGTTCTCTCCTTGACTCTGGGTGCCTCTTCTTCTCTCCCCTCCTTCCCTCGTCCTCGTCGCCCCCCTTCGCAGGCGATTTTGTTCTCCCGGCCCCCGAGCTCCGCCCGAAAAGTCGTTGGCCGCTCAGGCAAAGGGGGGACAAACTCTGGGATGCACCCCCAGGGGGTCGACATCCGGAGGCACCCCCCTACCGAGGACACGGAGGCCCCCACATCGTATAGTTATCCCAGGGGGCTGGGCCCCACATTTTTTTCTCCGCGGAGCCTGGGAGAGGGGTCGACATATCCCTTGTGAGTCTTAAGTCTTCCATGTCCCTGTACAGGAGGCATATATTGGAAACTAGACTAAAAACAGTCTGGGGACGACTTTCCTATTACTTGGAGCGTTTTTTATTGGATGACTACTTCTAATCTTTCGTCCAAAATCCACCTGTAGGAGGACACGCCTGACCTAATGTTAGTCGTCTCCCTGTGCTCTCTTTGTGCGCGTCAGACTGTTTGGACCCGCCTCGGTCGTTCCAATGTGCTCGGCTGCTCGGACGCACGGGCATATACATTATCTATATATATATGTATGTATACAAACAATCATGTATACATATGTTTGTATATATGTACATACATATACGTATATTCACACATACATACATACATACATACATACATACATGCATGCATACATACACACATACATACATACATACATACATACATACATACATACATACACATATATATAATACATACACACATACATACATACACCCATACATACATACATACATACATGCATACAAACACACACATACATACATACATACACACATACATACATACATACACATATACACATGCATACATACATACATACATACATACATACATACACACATACATACATACATACGTACATATATACATACATCCATACATCCATACATATATACATCAATCCATACATACATACACACATACATACATACATACATGCATACATACATACATACATGTACACATACACACATACATACATACATACATACATACATACATTCATTCATACATACATACATACATACATGCATACGTACAGACAGACATACAGACAGACAGACAGACAGACAGACAGACATACAGACAGGCAGACATACATACATACATGCATACACACATACATACACACATACATACATACATATATACATATACGTGTGTATATACATATATATATATATATATATATATATATATATACATATATATATATATATATATATATATATGTATGTGAATAGCCCCACCTCGGCCTGGGCCTGCCCAGCCCGCAACAATTCTAATACGCTCGCTGATACCCCCCGTTTCGCTCTCTTGAGGCGGCCCAGAGAGGCCAGGAGGGTGCCAAACCGAGCCAAGAGGGTTCCAAGAGGCCCCCAAGACGACGCACGAGTTGCCCAAAACGGCCCAAAAAGGCCCCAAGGCGCTCCAAGAAGGCTCCCAGAGCACTCCCAAGAGGGCCTCAAGAGGCCACAATCATCAAATTCCGATGGGAAAGCTGATATTTTTAGCGAGTGCGCCTTTGCAGCTTTCACGGCTGCGAAGACGGTCCAAGAGGCTCCCAAGACTCCCCCAAGACGGCCCCGGAGGATCCCATGAGGCCCCCAAGGCGGACCAAGAGGGCGCCTAGGCGGCCCAAGAGGCGCCCAAAACGGCCCAAGTTGGCCCCAAGGCGGCGCCCAAGACGGCCCAAGAAGGCCCAGAGTCGTCCAAGACGGTCCAAGATGGCCCCGAGCTAAACCTAGAAGGCTCCGAGACGTCTCAAGAGGCTTGCCAAAGCATTCCCAAGAGGGCTCCAAGAGGCCCAAATCGTAACTTTCCGACTGGGAAACGTACATTTTTAGCATGTGCGACGCTTCGGTTTTGACGGGTTTGAAGACGGCCCAAAAAGCTCGGAAGACTTGCCCAAGAATGCCTAAAACAGTCCCGAGAGGCCCTCAAGACAGACCAAGAGGGGGCCAAGACGGCCCAAGGGCTGCACAAGACGGTCCAAGTTAGCCCCAAAACGGGCCCCAAACAGGCCGAAGAAGGCCCCGAGTCGCCCAAGACGGCCCAAGATGGCCCCGAGACGGTCGAAGAAGGCTCCGAGACGTCCTAAGAGGCCTGCCAGAGGGCGGGGGTGGGGTGGTGCCACCGGTTGACATGGCCGCCCCGGGCGTCCTGCGGGGCCCACGATCCCGCCCAAGACGGCCTATCCCAAGACGGCCCATGAGGCCCTAAAGACAGCCCAAGAGGCCCACACGACAGCCTCAGCGAGGCCAAGAGGGCCCCAAAGACGCCCAAGAGCGCCCCAAGAGGGCCAGAGATGGCTTGAAGATGGCTTAAGAGGGCCCCAAGAGGGCCTTCAAGAGGCAAACATCTGCCCATCCCCTTCGTAAAACGTATGTTTTCAGCAGACTCGCTTGCTTCGTCTTCACAGTGCCCCAGACGCCCCCGAAGAGCCCCAAGACAGCCCAAGAGAGACCCAAGAGGGGTCAAGACGGCCCAAAAGGGTCGTCCTGCGGGGCTCACGGAATCCCCCAAGACGGCCCAAGAGGCCCCAAAGCCGGCCCAGGAGGCCCCCAAGCCGGTCTCAGGGAGGCCAAGAGGGCCCCAAGACGCCCAAGAGGCCCCAAGAGAGCCTCGTTCGAAATCTTGTTCCCGGAAGCCTCTCCGGGAATATGATTTCCGGTTTCCCAGGACGCCCAAGAGGGGCCTAAGACGGCCCCAAAAGGGCACTAAAAGGATATTCAAAAAGGCCAGGAGGGCCACAGTTCGGTGATTTGCGCGAGATGTTGTTGGATTTCTTCTGCGCGGAGGAGACGGAGAGGACAAAGGAGGAGGAGGAGGAAGAGGAAGAGGAGAAGGAGGAGGAGGAGGCGGGAAGGAGGAGTGGAGGGGAGGAGGGGGGGAGAGAGGAGGCTCGAGGGCGATCGACGACCGGCGACGACGACCGGCGACGGTGATTGACGACGACGACGACGACGACGACGACGACGACGACGACGACGACGACGGTCGACGATCAACGACGACGACGATCGACCACGATGACAACAGTCGACGCCGCTGATCGACGATCGACGGCGACGACGACGACGGCCACGCCGTCGGCGGTGTCCGCGTGCGCAGAGCCACCCTGGGCCCAGTCTTTGCCGCATCGTTCAAAATCCTGTCCCCGGAAACCTCTCCGGGAACATGATTTCCGGAGGAGGAGGAGGAGGAGGAGGAGGAGGAGGAGGAGGAGGAGGAGGAGGAGGAGGAGGAGGAGGAGGAGGAGAGAGAGAGGAGGAGGAGGAGGAGAGGAGGAGGGAGGAGAGGTGGGGGGAGGATTCGAGGGCGACCGACGATCGGCGACGGTGATCGGCGACGGTGATTGACGATGACGACGACAGTGTTGACGGCGACGACCGACGACGACGATCGACGACGATGACAGCAGTTGACGCCGCCGATCGGCGAACGACGACGACGGCCACGGCCACGGCGACGGCGGCGACGCACGAGCATATGTATATTCTCTGACCATATAGATGCATATATATATATATATATATGTATCAGCAAAATCATATACATATATATATATATATCACATATGCATACATACAATTATATATATGCATACATACATACACACATACATACATACCTTCATTCATTCATTCATGTATACATACATACATACATATGATTGAGCGCGCGCGTGGGGCCCGATAGACTCTAGACTAAAAAGGGGGGCCCAGCTTGAAGCTACCCCCCTCCCCCCTTCGTTGTTAAAGGGGGGGGGCTTCGGACCCCCCCCCCCCTCCCCCCTTTTCGTGGTTCGGAAGGGGGAGGGGCTAAGCCCCCCCCCCTTCCAAGCTACCCCCCCCCTACCTCCCTTTAATTGAGCCGGGGTGAGCCCCCCCCCCCTTTAAACGGGGGGGGGTCTTCGGAAGCTACCCCCCCCCCTCCCTTTTCGTGGCCGGAAAGGGGGGGGGGCGCTTCCAAGCTACCCCCCCCTCCTCTTAATGGAGCTGGGGTGAGCCGCCCTTCCCGTTTGAAAGGGGTGGGGTGCTTTGGAAGCTCCCCCCCCCCCCTCCCTTGGTGCAAAAGGGGGGGGGGGGCTTGAAGCTCCCCCCCCTTCCCCCCTTTGGCCGCCCGGCTCCCGGAGCCATCGCCCTCCCTTTCGCCTCCATTTATTCCCGCCCCTCTCCCTCCTCCTCTTCTCCTCCGTCTGCCTCCTCCTCTTCCTCGTCCTCCTCATCCTCCTCAGTCATCATCGTCATCCCTCCTTCCCCCCTTTGGCCGCCCAGCTCCCGGAGCCATCGCCCTCCCTTTCGCCTCCATTTATTTCCGCCCCTCTTCCTCCTCCTCTTCTTCCTTTTGCCTCCTTCTCTTCCTCGTCCTCCTCATCCCCCTCATAGTCATCATCATCATCATCATCAGCATCATCATCATCATCATCATCATCATCATCATCATCATCATCATCATCATCATCATCATCATCATCATCATCAACATCAACATCAACATCAACATCATCATCGTACTCCACCGCGGATCCTTCCATTCCGTTCCTCCTCCTCCTCCTCCTCGGTTTTCTCCTCCTCTTCCTCCATTTTTCCCTCCTCCTCCTCCTCATCATCATCCTCTTCCTCCTCCTCCTCCTCCTCCTCCTCCTCCTCCTCCTCGTTATCCTCCTCCGTTTCCCCATCCTCCTCCTCCTCCTCCTCCTCCCCCTCCTCCTCCCTCCTCCCTCCCTCCTCCTCCTCCTCCTCCTCCTCCTCCTCTTCCATCTCCTCCTCCTCCTCCTCCTCCTCCTCCTCCTCCTCCTCTCCCCTCCTCCTCCCCTCCTCCCCCTCCTCCTCCTCTCTCCTCCTCTTTTCCTCCTTCTCCTACCTTCCTCCCCCTCCTCCCGCCTCCTTCTCCTCCTCTCCTCCTCCTCCTCCTCCTCCTCCTCCTCCTCCTCCTCCTCCTCCTCCTCCTCCTCCTCCTCCCCCTCCGCCTCCCCCATCCTCCGCCTCCTCCTCCCCCAGCTGGCCGCCGTCTTACACGAACACTGCCAAACCCGACGGGCTGGCGTTCTCCGAATTACACTTCGTGCAACTTTCGGGGGGGAATCGTATTTTTCCCAACCCTCCTTGGTTGGGTATTCGTTTTGAATAGAGCAGTGTGGTCTCCACTTCCTCCTTCCCGTCCCGTCTCCCTCTTGCCTCCTCCTGTCTTGCCTGCGGGGGGCTGCGATCTGTGAAACTGTCGCCACTTTCGAGGCCTGCTGGGGGGCCCAGCACAGTGACGCCACGCGCGGACCCAAATTAGACCTCGCCATCCCTGGGGGGCTGCGATCTGTGAAACTGTCGCCACTTTCGAGGCCTGCTGGGGGGCCCAGCACAGTGACGCCACGGGCGGACCCAAATTAGACCTCGCCATCCCTGGGGGGCTGCGATCTGTGAAACTGTCGCCACTTTCGAGGCCTGCTGGGGGGCCCAGCACAGTGACGCCACGCGCGGACCCAAATTAGACCTCGCCATCCCTGGGGGGCTGCGATCTGTGAAACTGTCGCCACTTTCGAGGCCTGCTGGGGGGCCCAGCACAGTGACGCCACGGGCGGACCCAAATTAGACCTCGCCATCCCTGGGGGGCTGCGATCTGAGATCCCCGATTTCGAAGTGGCTAGGGTTGCTCAGGGATTGCAACTAATCAGCTTTATCTAGTCCTTGTCCTGAAGCCAGTGTCCTGCGAGTCTCCCGAATTCCGTCTGCAGGCATATGTAACCCTCGCTCCGTCATCGCCCCCCTTATAAAGTGTCCCAAACTATTTGCGCCCCGCGTTTGCGCAGGGGTTGGGTACGTCGCCAGGGTAATTTTTCGTTCCCGGGCGTTGGCACGGGACGAGTTGAATGATACACTTGCGTTGCAATCGATTGCAATCCATTGGATTGCAAACGATTCGATTGCAATCCATTGGATTGCAATCGATTGGATTGCAATCGGTTGAATTGCAATCGATTCAATCGATTGGATTGCAGGGGAGGGACAGGACGGAAGGGAGGGAGGGGAGGAGAGGGAGGGGAGGGAGGAGATGGAACGAAAAGTGGGGAGGGAGGGGAGGGAGCGGAGGGAGGTGGGGAGGGGGATTGCAGTGGAATGGAGTGCAATCGATTGCAAGCGATTCGATTGGGATTTTCGATCGTCGATCGTTGATCGTCGATCGTCCATCCTCGATCATGGATTGTTCATTTTGGATCGTCGGCGAAAGGGAGGGCGGAGGCTCCGGGGGCTGGGCGGCCAAAGGGGGGAAGGGGGGGGGGCTTCCAAGCCCCCCCCCCCCTTTGGCACAAAGGGGGGGAGGGGGGGGAGCTTCCAGCAGGGCGGCTCCAAGGGAGGGGGGGGGTAGCTTAAGCACCCCCCTCCCTTTGGAAAGGGGGGTAGGGGGGGGGGTAGCTTCCGGGGCGGCCAAAGGGGGGGGGTGGGTAGCTTCCAAGCACCCCCCCCCCTTTGCACGAAAGGGGGGGAGGGGGGGGTAGCTTCCAGCAGGGCGGCGCCAAGGGAGGGGGGGGGTAGCTTAAGCACCCCCCCCCCCCCTTTGGAAAGGGGGGGAGGGGGGGGTAGCTTCCGGGGAGGGCCCAAGGGGGGAGGGGGGGTAGCTGTAAGCCCCCCCCCCTGCAAAAAAAAGGGGGGAGGGTGTGTGCTTCCAACAAGGGCGGCTCAAGGGAGGGTGGGGTAGCTTAAGCCTAGCCCCCCCTCCCCTTTGCTCGGGCCCTGTGGGCGCGCTCTCTCATACATACATACATACATACATACATACATACATACATACATACATACATACATACATACATACATACATACAAACACACATACATACATACATACATACATACATCCATACATACATACATACATACATACATACATACATACATACATACATACATACACATACATACATACATACATACATACATACATACACACACATACATACATACACACATACATTCATCCATCCATTCATCCATTCATCCATCCATCCATCCATCCATCCATACATACACACATACATACATACATACATACACACACATACATGCATACATGCATACATGCATACATCCATACATACATGTATACATACATACATACACACATACACACATACATACACGCATACATACATACATACATACAAACATACACACACATACATACATACGTACGTACATACATACATGCATACATACATTCATCCATCCATACATACATACATGCATGCATGCATGCATACATACATAAACACATACATATATACATACATTCACATACACACACATACATACATACATACATACATACATGCATGCATGCATACAGACAGACAGACAGACAGACAGACAGACAGACAGACACATACATACATACATACATAGATATATACATGCATGCATGCATGCATGCATACATACATACAGGCATACATACTTATATATATATATATGTGTGTGGCGTATTCTCGCCGACGGGCCAGAAGACCTCTGGCCGATACGATCGCGTCCGCTGACCGCCTCGCCCGCGCGGCCCGGAACGCTTCTTCTCGCCTGCGCGACGTGGCGGCGCTAATCGCGCCCGCTAGCTTCTTTGCGCGGCCCGGAGATCCCGCCAGTTTCGCGTGAAGATGCGAGCGCGCGGAAGGGCGGTCTCCCCCTAGCTGGTACGACTATCACCATTATCGCCATCATCGTCACCATCACCGTCATTACCAGCATTGCCATCGTTAGCATCATCACCATCAGTTATCATGTGTCTTGTCTCCTTTTTGTTCCGCTGTTTTCTCCGCCCATCTTTTCCTCCTCGTCCCCGTCGCCTTTGTCCCTCTCGCCCTCTTTCCTTTTGGCGCCTGGTTGTTACACCCATGTGCAATACAAGTTTGCCACATGGGTTTCGGCTCGATGAGGGGGTTAATTCGCTTCCTTCGATGGCCAACGCTCTCTCCTCCCATCCACCCCGCCGCGGCGCCACGTTGGACTCGTGTGGTTTCGGCATCTCGTCGCGCTTCGCTGCGTTTCGGCACGCCCCGCCGCTGCCCGACCGCCGTTTGTTTTTCACTGGCGCCCGCCAACCAACAACATGCGTTTTCGGAACGCAGCGGACGTGTCCAAGCACTCCCCCCCCCGCCCCATTCCTACCCTTTCCCCTCTCGTCCCCCTGTCCCCCCCCCCGCCGCGCCCCCCCACCCCGTTCTTCCATGGCTTTCTCGGGGGGCAGGGGGGCGCGTGACAACTTCACAGCTGATCGCGGAACCGTAGTTCTGCTTTGCGACATTTGCGGTTGAACGTTCTGAGTCATGCGGTGTTTCTGGAGTTCAGGAGTGTACAGCGCGCCCATGGCCACACATTTCGATATCGAGCACGCGTTAGCCGCGGCAGATGCCACCATCTGAATTGGCATTCGTATGTTTGTGGTCGTGATGATTACTTACGAAGGTATCAGTATTTCTTTCATGATGTTGTCAGCTGTCATACGACCACCACACACGTTAGCATAATGCTTCCATGATCGCGCCAACGCATCATCAGCCCCATGTACGTGTTGCAATAATCGCTCCGTGCAGAGACAACCTCAACAGCCACGCTGCAATATAACACGCGTGGTAAGCCAGCATCAGATGGGGCGTGTTTGGTGTGGGTGGTTAGGTACCGCAAAGAGACCACACTGCACGGTGCGCGGGCACGTCACGGCACATGTTTTGGCAAAATACGTAAACGTTTGGCACCGCCCTTTTTTTTGCAGTCCTAAAACCCCGGCGCGACACGTCACGGTGTATTTCTCGAATTCATGACCCACGGCACGGGTTCCGGCGCGGAACGGCATTTTAACCCCGCATTTTCGGATTTGGGCACGGCACGGCACGCGGCGCGCGGCACGCGGGCACACCGGCTCGCGGGCACGGCGCGACATATTCTTACAGTTCTAACACCTGTGCGCGGGTCTGCACGGCACGGCACGGCACGCGGCCACCTGGACACGTCACGTGGGCACGGCATGGTACAATACGGGACTTTTCTGGCATTCTAGGACTTCGGCAACGCACGCAAGGCACGGCACATCTGTCGCAATATAAAGCCTAGGTGCGACACGGCACGGCACGGCACGGCAGCACGGCACGGCACGGGACATGCTTTCCACATTCTAGGACTTAGGTGCGACACGGCACAGCATGCCTGCACAGCATTTATGTTGTTGCTTATGTTGTGTAGATTGTTTGTTCTTACGTGTAGTTCCCATTCACAGCATTAGCTGTTTACGGAATTCCAATGGCAATCTCAGTAAGCGGTTCTCCGCATCATTTTGAATGTTACCCCAGCAGCCGACCCCCCCGCAGCAGAGGGGATTTTTGATGATGTTGTTCTCGGTTGCTCAGGTGCCCTGGGAGGGCCAAGTGGAGGAGAAGGAGGAGCAGGGATTGTGTCATGATGATGTAGACGATGATGACGATGTTGTTGTTGACGGTGATGATAGTGATGATGATGATGATGCTGCTGATGATGATTTTGATGATGATGTTGACGACGATGATGATGATGATGGTGATGATGGTGGTGGTGATGATAACGACGACTACGACGACGATGATGATGATGGTGGTGGTGGTTGTGGTGGTAACGATGATGATGATGATGATGATGATGATGATGATGATGATGATGATGATGATGATGATGATGATGATGATGATGATGATGCTGATGCTGATGCTGATGCTGATGATGATGATGATGCTGATGCTGGTGATGATGATGATGATGATGATGATGATGATGATGATGATGGGAGGACCGATCAGGGGACCACGTACTGTGAGGATGATTGTGATTTACCATCACCACTCACTCATCAGCCGTGAACAAATTGTGTTGTCTGTTGGCCCCGTTGCGCGCTAGAATAGGATCTGGAGATACGTAATGTGTATCAGCCGAGTGCTCATTCAACTGCTTGTTCTTCGCAGGGGGCACATTGAATCCAGAAGAACAAGTGTGAAACTACATTTTTCTGGAAGGTGGACGTAGCGCACGAGATCGCACGACAACCGACACTGGCAAACCATAATGTCGAGGACGCCAGCGGCGAATGACTGGCCGCTCACTGGTGGTTTGGCGGAGTTGCGTGTAGTGTTGTTTTTTTGGTTTTGTTTGCCTTCTCGGGGCTTCTTGGAGCACTGCAGCGCCATAGCAGCGGCAACGGAAGTCTTGTGCTCGTGAGGCCCTCTTCAGAGCCTGTGGCCGTCTTCGACGCTTCTTTGGCCCTCCTGGCCGCGCGGTGGCGTTCCTGTGGGAATCCTGGGGCAGCCGAAATTGAGGCCCCTTCCAGTTTTTGTTTGGGGTTGGTCGCAGTTGTTGTGGTTCTTGGACACGACAGGGCCGTTTTTGTTACCGTTTCCCAGATATCTTGATCTTCAGAATGAAAGCAGTCAAAAAAAGCGGTTCGTTGAAACGGAGCAAAGACGTCCCCGGGATTGAAACCGGAGCCAGAGCCGGAACAACAAGAGCGACGGAACCATAAACGAAACGGCGTTGGAATTAGGACCCACGTAAACGGCACAACGAAATCGGACAAACATTGCTTTGTCGTTTCCAAGAATCACTCGGGGTCGGAGCCCCTTTGGTAGACAGTAGAAAGGAGACAGGACTTGAGTTGCAAGTGTCACCAGTCAGCCCTAAGAACACAAGACAGCGGTACAGCAAAATATCTCACACCCTTGCTCCCCCAGCGGGGCTGGCGGATTCGCTATGCAGTCATTGTGTGGCGCTTTGGGGAGCGCCGCGGATCAATGTGTGGCGCCGCGGATCAATGTGATTGTTGCGTCCTCACGCTCGGAAGCCGTACCAGGACACCAGTTCTGGTACTTCAACACTGCGAAACAAGGTGACTGTTCCGTCTTGCCATTTATAGACTGCGCCAAAACATTATGCCTTGGACTTCAACCATACGAACTCTTCAAAAAGCTACAAAAGCTTAAATCGAACATATGCCCAGCGCTAAAGCGGGAGCCATATTTGAAACACCACTCTTAGCCTCCATCCGTGACGCTGTTACAATCGTTTAAGACGAATGTACGCGGTGCGAAGGCGAGAGCCACATGGTGACCAGCATTCGCCCTCCATCCGTGAAATTGCTGCAAATTTCGAGTTCCAGGGTTGCCCACGCCGAGGAAGTCTCAGGCGAAACGCCCGGCCCGCCCGGCCGTCACGTTTTGGGGTACGACACGGACGAGTTCTTTATAAGGAGGATGGATGGGGAGGAGGAGGAGGAGGAGGAGGAGGAGAAGGAGAAAAAAGGGAGGAGGACGAGGAAGAGGAGGACGAGGAGCAGGAAGAAGAGGAAGAGGAGGAACGGAGGTAAGCGATATAATAGGGCATGCATAGTGTAAAAGGGGAGGGAGGTCATCTCCAGTCTTCCGTATTGGTGTGGTGTTGACGAGCCCAGGCCAGGCCGCGCAAGTCTGATGGTACGAAGGCCCCGCGGGCTATGGATTTCTGGGGCTGCCCCACTTGCGCGTGGCCGTCCGGCAGGCGACGAGACGCAGATCACCGCTCGGTTTCAGGGCGACGTAGAGCAATTCCTGGCCTTGCTGCAAGGCCAGCTTCCCCACCCCCTCCTCCCTCCAACTCTCCCCTCCTCCCTGCGCCCCTTGCTCACTCCCTCCCCAGCTTCCTCTCTCATGGCTCCCCCGTCCTTCTCCATCAAATTCTCCCTCATCCCGCCTGCCCCCCAGCCCCTTGCTTCATGAGCTCCCTCGGCAAAAGGGGGAGGGGGGGGGCACACCCTTGCCTTGTCTCAGCATCATCTGCTGACTTATAAGCTTTTACCAAAGCTGCCTTGGCAGCAGAAGGACCGCCGCGCGCCCGCGCGACCGCTGGCCCGGCCTTCTTCGTGTATCGTAACCCTAGCCATAGCTTAACGGCAGAACACCATACTAAGCCATGCTTACAAGGAATACCGTTTCCAATACATCGCTTGGATACGAGCATGCAACTATTTCAAGAAGAAGGTCACCATGAAGAACAGCTGCGCGCTTTGCTGTTGAATCGGTTTGCGAGAGCTCCCCGCCTGACGGAGAACTTGCAAAACGCTGGTTATCAACCGAATGCTCTATCGTCGATGAACAATGCCACCAAATGGGGGAACTATGTTTCTCCCTTTCGGCCGATGATGCACGAAAGGAAAAATAGCAATGCCACCACTCAGGCATTAACGTTCCTGGAGCTGTTTCAATCGACGACGGCGCGGAACAATTTCAACGTCCTCATTTGAAGATCAGCTGGGATCTTTCCTATTACGATGAGCGCCGACCGGACACTCCGAAAGCCACTAACGACAAGGAGCCCTGAATGGCACGAGAACGGCGAGCACATGCCGTTGCCAATCGCTGGCCAACCTGTCGTTCCGATTGGCCTTCAAGCGCGGCGAGCACTGCGCGGAGTTCATATCGCCAGAGGAGGATTTTTTCCCGCAAGTCGACGCCCAGGCCGATTGCCCACGATTGTGTCCGCCTGTCGCAGAAAAAGGGGAGACGAGAGGCCTATGGCATCAGTCCGCCTGTTCCGCTAGCTGACGACCCGCCTCCTGCACAGGTGTCCTTCGCCTGCGGCGACGAGGCTGCGGTTCTCTCCGATGACGCGCCAGAGCGGGTCTCGAGGATATCATGGAGGACCAGCCCGCGGGCAGCGCGGCCAGGGCCACCAGCAAACAAAGGCGCGGGACGGTCAGGTTTTCAGTTACGTCGCCGCTCGGTGAGGGGACGAGGTCCGACGGCATTCCCGAGGACGGGCCTGTGCCTACTCCGGGGGGGGGGCCCGGTAGCTATGCGCCCGGGTCTCCCCCGCGTCCTATTCGGCCCGACGATCGACCTTCGGCCGCAATGCCCGTGACGCTTTGCCAGCGGGCGCGTTTTCCCCGCAGAAGGAGTTCGGAGAGGGGTGGGCCGAGAGTTTCGAGGCCGCGTTTGGAGGTGTCCGAATTGTCTCATATATCATGCCACAACAGCGGTTACGGCGACCTGCACTCTCAACGCCCTCCTCCGAGGCCGTTCCTAACGACGCGGTCGTAAACGGAAAAAAAACAGAGTCAAAAGTGTTTCTCGAGAGAAAACGGCGTTTCTCGTGAGAAAACGGCGTGTGCAAAAAATGTTTTGAAACGCAAAGTATAAACAAGTTCGTCGCTAATGTTTGTGTCATACATTGAGTGGATCTTGTTGCCGTCCGTCAGTTCCTAAGCCTCGTTCTCATTATTTCATTGCCTGCCTCCTTCTACCTTGGTCATCCTCATCGTGTCTCTCCTGTTGTATACTGGCCTCACAGTCCTTATGGCAGTGATCTTGTTTAGTCACAGTCGCACGCATATGCCTTTGGCGTCAGCGACAGAGCTCGATGCCTATATGCGTGAACGCTTTTCGAGGGCGAACCTGTAGACTTAGAACCAGGAGGAATGATATCAGCGGAATAGGAGGGCGGTGTACCACATGGAGAAAGGTCTCTCGCCGAGGTACCCTTGGGGAGCCCGGGGGGACGAGGAGGAATGCTGACAATCAGGAGGAGAAGGAGTATGATGATAAGAAGGTTGAGGCGGAGGTAGACGATGAGGGCTTCCTGCGGTCGCTATCGTTGAGTATGTAATGCGCGTGTTTGAAGTGCACCCAAATGCGGCGTGCCGGGCGCAATGGGATGTATATGACGTGTTGTCCGAAATCGGTACGCCCTCGCATCGCAATCTCTAGTCCTGAGGTGCTGCTCGGTGCCATGCAACATTCTGCCCGCAGTCGCAAGATAATGTGAACCGTCAGCACCTAGAGCTAGCGCGCAGAACACCCTTCGATGTGTGTGGCATCTCTTTGTTTAGAGTACTGTCCACCTGGCACGAGTCAAACAATCAAACCATGAGCCCAACGAGCTCGACCTGCTCTACTCCTCAAACGCCTTCTCGGCGAAGTTCTCCCACGCACGGTTGCCGTCCTTCCACCTTTGCTGGCTCTCCTTGCTGTAGTGCTGTAGTGGTCCTTCAGGGCGGCGTTGATGGCCTGCAGAACGTCCTTGGGCACGGTTTTGGACAGCCGCAGGCTCAGGACGCTGACGTTCACGTAGTGGGCCCATTTCGGCGCATCTTTCTCCGTCTTGGCAGCGCTGGTGTTGAAGAAGGCCGAGTAGATGTGGCCGTGCGGAATCCACAGCATGGAATTCGCAGGCACAGCGTCGCTCGCCAAGAACCTGCTCGGTATCCTCCTCCTCATCCTGCTCGTTCCGTTCCTCCTGCTCCCTTCCCTTCTCTTTCATCTTCCATTGTATTGTTCCTCTTCTATGTTCTTTCGCTCCCCACCCTCAATTTCGTCATCCCCTATCCTGCTCTTCATCCTTATCCTTCTCCTAATCCCCCATCCCTCCTACTTAAAGCTGGCATTCATCCTCCTCCTCCAGCTCCTCACTCCTCGTAGCTCGTAGGGCCCCACAACCTACTTACACTTGCCACCCCGTGAACCCTTGAAGATTCTTCACGACGATGCCCTGGTCGAGGAGGTCGTTGAGCCGCTGCGTCATGAACACAATCGGGTTGTCCAAGGTGATCGCGAAGCTCCCGATACCAGGCATGTTAAACGCCCCCGGACCACAGCGCAAGGCGTCCCTCCTGAGCGTGATCAAGTTCGGGCGGTTGCCCTCGTCGTGCATGGCGAACTGCTCGCCCACTTCCACGGGGAACTCGAAGTTGACGCCCCCGAGGCTGATGTTCCCACGAGTGACAGCGCCCGTCCACTTCGTAGTCTTCATATGTCCGTCCACCGTCTTGATCTTCTCATCCACTCCGGTCTGAATTTCGGCAAGGATGGACGAGCGCACCCCGCCATACTTGTTCTCTGACGCCGTCCACAAGCACACCTTGTTGGGCTGCAGGTCCCCGTTGTCACTCGCAGTTTGGAAGTAGGTGTCCTGGGATGTCTCATTCAAGTAGTTATCGCCAAGACTAGTTGTATTCGCGTACAAGATATCACTAATAACCTTCGGGTGCTTCTTATTGTAGCCACCAGCGAGCAAGGCCTGAGATACGTGTTCTGCTGGCAACTGATACAGACAACGGCGAGGAGGAGGCGGAGGGAGTGTGAATAGAACCCGTATAATACCCTCATATATACTCCTTATCCTCACTCTCCTGCGCCTGGCCGTTTGGGCTCAGGCATTGGATTATATCGATCAGGCTTTTGATCGTGTAGGAGGAAAAGATATCCATCTTTCCCTCCTTTCCTCTACCAACGGATCAGGGGTTCTGTACCTTTGTACTTCAACCCCATACACAGGTTACCAACCCTTAAGGCCCACAGTTCATCGAACCCCGCGCATTGATCTCGCACGCGGCTTCGATGGAGCCCAAGCGGCGCATGCGCCGTAAGGGGTCCGTCGGGGCCTCGCGTCCGAGCTCTCCGACGGCGCGACGGTTCGGTGATGAGTTGGTTGACCGTGTGGGTGTCCCAGATACGCCCCCCCCCAGCTCAGACGGACCCGAGGCGCGGCTAGCTGCTGAACTTCGCCGCCACGCCGCCCGCGGGGGGACAGGAAAAGGAGTAGGAGCAGGCAGTCGAGAATTTCACACGCCAACCTTCGAACCTCCATCTCCTCTTCCGTCGGGAGCAATCCCAACTGCGTCGGGCGCCGTCTCCACTGGTCCTGATACTCCAGGGCGCTTCCGCGCTACCCGCGGATGGCACGCAGGTGCTGGCCTGACCAGTCCTGCGACCGTTCCTGTGGCGGAGCGCGCTGCTGCTTCTGAGGAGCTCGGTAGACCAGTGTCGGCGCTGCTGCAGACGCAGTATCCCCGGGTATCATCTCGTCAGACACCACACACACACGCACGGCCCTAGCCGCAGCTCGCCCCTGCGTAACCGTCGTGAGGCCACAGGCCCATACGACGAGAAAAGGTCGAGCTCGCGTGCGGCCTCTC